TGGTAGTCTAGACATTAACTCTGCATCATAAGCTGTTCTTACATAAAACCATCTTTAAATTCTTACAGCTGTGGTTGTCTAGGCAGTATCTAAGCTTTTTAAACTGTTATAAACTAACAAGATCTTTAAATGTTGAATCAATGTAAATGTGGTAGTCTAGACATTAACTCTGCATCATAAGCTGTTCTTACATAAAACCATCTTTAAATTCTTACAGCTGTGGTTGTCTAGGCAGTATCTAAGCTTTTTAAACTGTTATAAACTAACAAGATCTTTAAATGTTGAATCAATGTAAATGTGGTAGTCTAGATATTAACTCTGCATCATAAGCTGTTCTTACATAAAACCATCTTTAAATTCTTATAGCTGTGGTTGTCTAGGCAGTATCTAAGCTTTTTAAACTGTTATAAACTAACAAGATCTTTAAATGTTGAATCAAAGTAAATGTGGTTGTCTAGGCATTACTTATGCTTTTTAAAACTGTTTGTACATAACAAGATATTTTAATTCTGAATGGAGTACCTGTGATTGTCTAGGTATTATCTCTGTTACTTAATTAAAATGTTCGTACATAACAGGTTCTTTAAATTCTGATAAATGTGTCTGTCTAGGCATCATCTCTGCTTCATGTACCCTTGTCGACAGTTTGTTCTTCAGTACCTTTTGATCTTCTTTAACGCGAAAGCTATTCCAAACCTATAGTTAATGTTTTAAAAAGTCAACAAGAATAATTAACAGCATTTCCATAGACATGATCATACATTTCTTACAAGTAAATTTCCTTTGTACAACCATTTCGAGAGGTCAAGAACCTGTAAATGACGACTCTTGGCTGTCTACGTACACCGACATGCAAGTAGAGCTGTAAACGTGGTATTATTTTTATTAAATATTTTAATAGAATCAACAATCATTTAATTATACTTAATGAACCAGCTTCTGATGAACATCAAAAATCTTCTACTTAGCTTATCGTCTTTTTTTTTCTTCGACATCTTAAATTTTCGGCTTGACTTAATGTTCGTGTTTCACAAGCTCAAGACATTAAAGCTCTCCGATTCAGATTTCTGCCTAGTTTATAAAATTAAACTGATATAAGTCGTTGACATTCAAACTCCCCCCCCCCCTCTCTCTCTCGAAATTATTGCGGATTCAAGTGGACATTCTTGTATAATTTCTCGTCACTAAATGGTTAATCTAAAGCTCCAACCGTAGCTGATCTATGAACTGGATTTGTATCTTGCTAATACAATGATGGCTTGCAGTAAGCATGTATTATCAATAAACAAGATCAAACATAGCTCTATATGTAACAAATGTGAAGAATATTACGTTTTTAGTACTATATCACGACAGAGAAAGCATATTTTATAATTAACTCAATAGACCTATTCAATGACAGTAATATCTCGAGTTCTGGTTTGACTGCTGTTAAGCTTGAATTTACACAATGGACTACCTGTGTCCTGCCCACAATGGGTATTAAAACCGGAATTTTAGTGTCCGAACCCTAAGACTTACCACTGAGCCACTGGAGGCAACGCCTCGAGAGGAAACATGTTGACTAATTGTGTATTTCAAAGTTGTCTTGGAAGTTGCATAAATTTAAAGATAAGTAATGAAACATCTAAGAGAGATCTATCCGTTTTCCATATAAAATAAGCGATTAATATAAATAGAAAGTTCGAGCTGTATAGGCTGAAGAAACACGAACCTTTTACGAGGAAAACATATTGTAGGAGATAATAGTAAAAGTTTCTACAGTGGAATATTAAGAACTCATTCCCTGACCTGTCTTTGCTTCATAAATCCTACCCACACTTTATAGTGATGAGACCTGTCAGTGTAATGGTGAATAGTAGGTTAGAAATATTGTAATAGAACTTTCCAGATAGCTTGGACCAACTACTTACTCTGTCTTGAGTGAGCAATAAACTCCCTCGTAGTGTGTTTAGAAAATTTGAACAAACCAATGACGTGTGAGTAAACCTCCAATTGACATGTAATCACCAATATTTTGCTGTAAGCTATGCAAACAACATTTATTTATCATCTCAGCGAGTTTTATAATTCTCTGTAGTTTAATTGAAAAACTTTCAAGCCTATAACAACGTAATGCTTATGACAAGATGTCATCTTGTGCATTATAAAATGACAGGAGCCCACTCGGTGAACGAGGTTAGTTTTTTCGTGTTTAGTTTGTTACGGAAATATTATTAATACCATCTGATTTGTACATGAAAACAAAGGTCTCACAAACAGCTTACCATTTACTACTCAGCATTTGACCTGGCCTTTATGTGACTCTTTAAAACTTTACCTGTCACACTGAAGTCAGTGTAAGGTTAGCAAACATAGCCTGTCACAATAAGAATCCGAAAGTGATAAGAAATGAAAATAACAAGAAACATTCAGAAAATCCTCTTCCCCTTATTGGAGCACATAGTCTCTGTACTTACAATCAACACATCGGATTGCACCATTATTACTCCACGACAAAAGAAAAAAAAAGATTTCATTACGTTAATTTTGCTCAAATACAACATGGGATAAACCTAAATATTTGACTGTAGTTTGATAACGTTTACCGCAAAGCTAAGCCTTATTGGTTTAAATGTAGAATGATATACTTTTGAGAGCACAGATCTGATGTTCATAATATATTCTCCTGTGATGTAATTTTGTAACAGTATTTATATTATTATTAATAAGAACTTCCAACAGAAAGTAAAGAAGAGTCTATAGTAGTATATCAACACACTATATCTGCTATATCCAATGCCGTTGAGGTCTTTTGCCCAATATTCATGCTTTTCAAGCAGGCTGGGATACGACAGATATGGTAGTGGTTGAGAAGTTATATATATATTACATAATCGCTTGACAACAACTGTTAAGGTGTGAAATGAGTTAAATTGGTGAAGTGTGGTTTCATCTTTTATTTTATTTTTTTATTATTCATGTCACCATACAGAATTAGGAGTAAGGGTGTTTCAACACAATTTATTTGCTAATTTGTTTTAACACCGTATACTATTAATAATTCTGTTATTGAGTTAACTTGCTCATTATTGACATTGTGTTTGTATTTCTGAGTATCTTCTGAATAACAGATGTTTTAAAAATTTATGATACAGACTGCGAGAAAGAAGCGCTCTTGTTTAATACAAATGTAGAGTGTGCATTGGGAACTTTTTCAGCGAAGATACCAACGATTTTTATCGGCCCATTGTATTTCCAGTTGGTGGACTCAACTCACAGCCTCTTGGCACGCGAGAGCAGAAACAAGGCGGAACCAGCAAATACGCCTTTGATAACCCATACTTTCGACATGACGAAATCAAAGGAACGACACGAGGATTAAAAGGTAAAACAGTAGTTGTACTTTTTACTCTAAAGAAAAATTCTTTTATGTAGTTTTCTTGTCACGCATCCGAAACAGATACCAACTTGTTGCTGCTAAAGTAGACAGACTTATGACATTTTTTGTAACACTTAATGCAAAGGTATAAGCTAAAACATATACAGGTTAGAATTTTATATAAAAGTTGCCCCCCAGTGGCACAGCGGTATGTCTGCGGACTTACAACGCTAGAAACCGGGTTTCGATACCCGTGGTGGGCAGAGCACAGATAGCCCTTGTGTAGCTTTGTGCATAATTAAAAACAAAACATATAAAAGTTTATTATCAAAACGTAAGCTGTGTTTAGTTGTTGTCTTTTTAGGATTGTGACAGTTATATAGATTTAACCATTTTTTGTTAATAAACTAAATCTACGTTATGCTTTTTTTGAGTATTTAAGTAACGTTTCTAGCGAAAATTATTGTGTTTCACGCTGTAAAACGCAAACAGCAACTTGCTAAAGGATACTGATCAAAAGACCCTCACAGTTATTAAGAAATTAATTATGAATAATGCTCTCTAAAATCCCTCTAGTGGTTCGGAAGAAAAGAGAGAATTCATTTAACCAAGAATTTCAGTTTGTTTTTTTTGAGGGGGGGAGCAGAATTAAATTTCAAATCACTTCAAAATGAACTACTATGTGTGCAGTGTGCTTAACGTTTTGTATTTGTGTTCGATATATTTTTGTTACTAAAGGCTGTAAAGAATTTACATGTTGAAAGTTGAGTGCCGGGCTGTGGATCTGAGGTTCCATGGTTCGTGCCCCGTTACTGTTAAAAGGAAAATTCGCGCTCCGCACTTTAGGGCCGTGGGTGCATGATAAGACAGACGACCAAATCTCACTATTCGATTAGAATAAATAGCCCCCCCCAGTGTCACAGCGGTATGTCTGTGGACTTACAACGCTAGAAACCGGGTTTCGATACCCGTGGTGGGGCAGGGCACAGATATACCTTTTTGTAGCTTTGTGCTTAACTACAAACAAACAGAATAAATAGCCCACGAACTGATGGTGGTCGGTGTTGACTAGCCGTCTTCCCTCTACTCTGTCAGTTGAAAATTACTTTCTACAAGGTAATCAAGGTTAGAGGTATGGCAGGATGTTCTTAAATATATGGTAAAATAATAAAACTTGCGTTACGTATAAAATAATTTTCAATCCTGAGGTCTTTTGTTTTCTTCACTACATAAATACGAAACAGGGCCTAAAATTATCCAAGTGACCTTGAAATCAAACATTATGTAATTATATTTTGTCTCGTGTTCGTTTTCTCAAAAACTTGATTCTTGAACGTCTGATTCATTTTAGCTTCAGGCAGTTTCCCGCAGCAGTAAACTAATAGGTTTTATTTTTGCTGACACATTATCAGATGTACGTCTGTCTGCTTCTCCGTGGGACCTAAACACCAGGAAACTGGAAGAACAGCAAATAAGTAAAACTTTTACACGCGCAGAAACACAGATGATAAACCCTCCTTGATTAAGAAGCTAAATTTAATTTTAAAAACTAAAGTGAGGCAGGCAGAACTGAAAATTCCGGTCATTGTGCTGTAATAATTTTGAATCCGATACCTTAAAAGATCAAATGATGCTCAAAACGAAAACTCTGCGTGGTTTATTTAATAAAAACAGGGGGAAAGACTCGTGCTCCACATGCAAAACATTATTTAGTCCTGGTATTTTGTATTCTAATTCACAAAGTTTATAAAATGTATTCAAATTAATTAAGAGTTAAGTGGCAAGCTTAGACTACTCGCGTAAGACGTTAGGCGCGTAGGGTTCTGAACGAATCTGATAGAACTGTCTTAATGACTGCAAGGTTAAACCTGTTCCACAATATGTGATATTTACCAAACGCCTCTAGTACAAAAAAAAAATACTTTGAGCCAAATGGTTTGATCAAAAATGACTAATCGATCGACTTATCTAGTAAGAGACGCCGAATCTAGCGTCGCTTTTAAAACATTGGAATCGGAGAGAAGTATTAAAACTCAACAGGTAATCTAATCGTCTATGAACAAATGAAGAAATTCACACTCAAAACTTTAATACATAAGCACTGCTGTCTAAGATGTATCTCTGAAGGAATCCATGCCACAAAAATCTTTCCATATGCAATGCATAGTAATATCCACACCCACCCCTCCCTTACGCATATGGTGACGTCTTCCATACTTCCCTGTTCTTTTTTCATTTTTGCATAGTTTAATAAAGCTTAGAATCCCCCCCCCCACCCACACACACACAATTCTCTTTTAATTACGTAGATGTTTCGTAACTTGACCTTTGACTTTTGTCTCAAAAGTTTCATGTTTTTAAAAGATTTGAAGGACATTACATATTTCAGCTTTGACTTTAAGAGATATTTTTGTAAACACATGAAAGACGAAAAATGTTTCAGGTTTAATCTCAACAAACGTTCTCCTTTTTTAGAAATGTTGGGCGTGGCCGAATGATTAGCGTGCCGCATCTTGATCCGAAGGTTCTTATTCGTTTACCATTGCTGCAAAATACTAATAATACCGTTGGTACAAGAGATGGCGGTGGGTATTACTTACTAGCTGTTTCTCCTCTAGTCTATCAGTTAAAAATTAGGGACAACTAGTTGTTGTTGTTGTCATTTTGCAGTGGAAGGTATCTGCTCTCTGTTAAGCACGGGGAATTGAACCTCGGATTTTAGTGATGTAAGTCCGTAAATTTAACTCTGTCCAACCAGAACATTAAACCTTTGTGAGCTCTGCACATATATATTTATAACAAACCAAACCTTTTCAAAAATGTAAAAAACAAGACTTTGTGCAGTAAACTATAAGGTCGTCAAAAAATTACTGTCGCTTTTTTTGAGATGAAAAAAGTCGAACAACTTATATATCAAAACAAAGCATTTATTAAATGAAATAGCCTCCATTCTTATCGATGATGCTTTTACATCTTAAAATCGGATTGTTAATGCCTTGATTAAAGAAATCACTTGGCTTTGAAGCAAAAACATGAGTTTAGGCGGTTCGTTTAACTATTATACGTGATATACGTTTTTTTCTGTGGGGTGGTTAATTAAAATGTTCAAAAACGCGACATTAATTTCTTGACGACCTAATATATAAGATCGTTCATTACAAGAAGCCAAGCCTGGTATAATGGTTAATGTGCCTGATTGTAGGTTCGAGCTGCAATATTCCACTAAACACACTCTGCATTTCAACTGTTTGTTTGATTGTTTACAATGGATTTCGTGTAAAGCTACACTAGGGCTATCTGCGCTAGCCGTCCCTAATTTAGCAGTGTAAGGCTAGAGGGAAGGCAACTAGTCATCATCACCCAAAGCCAACTCTTGGGCTACTCTTTAACCAACGAATAGTGGGATTGACCATCACATTATAACGCCCCCACGGCTGAAAGGGCGAGCGTATTTGGTGTGACGGGAATTCGAACCCTCGACCCTCAAAGTGCGAGTCGAGCGCCATAACCATCTGGCCCACATTTCAACTGTAAGAATCCGTTTTGCTGTTCAGTTGAGAGTAGCCGCATAGGCGGCGGAACTGTTGAGTGGTTGCTCTCTTTCTGATTAGCAGTTTAAAATTAAGGTTATAACTAAGCCTTAGGGATTGATGTGACCTGGCTGTTTCCACCATAGCTCTCATGAGGTGTCATTCAGTTTGAACAAAAGACAAAAACACGATACTAACTGTGCTTCAGAAAATTAAACATGTCGAATGCTTCCGTTAATCTCATGTTAGCGAGAGTAAAGTTCTTTATTGAGTTAATGATCCACTATTTTCTAAATATACACTTTCTTAAACTTCTACAAAGTGTAGTATATTGGAGTCTACTTTATTCCGAGGAAAACGCAAATCAAGAGTGAAATTTTTCGGACGGGTCTGTAAAGTGTACTCTACGCATTCAAATATTATATCCTTTCGTAAACATTCTGTAAGAAAACAAATTGCGTCAGTGTTTTATGCTGATAAGCTTTGACTGAACCTGTTTCATGTTGATAAGCTTTGACTGAACCTGTTTCATGTTGATAAGCTTTGACTGAACCTGTTTCATGTTGATAAGCTTTGACTGAACCAGTTTCATGTTGATAAGCTTTGACTGAACCTGTTTTATGTTGATAAGCTTTGACTGAACCTGTTTCATGTTGATAAGCTTTGACTGAACCGGTCGAACAAAAAAATACCAAGAGTGTGTGTGATATCATAACGATTCTTTCATTGCTCAAAATTCAAGTTATCAAAAGGGCTTATAAAAATCCAATAATATTTAGCAGTGTAAAACAAGATGGAAGGCAGCTAGTCATCACCAGCCACCGCCAACTCTTGGGCTACTCTTTTACCAACGAATAGTGGGATTGACCGTCACATTATAACGCCCCCATGGCTGAAAGGGCTAGCATATTTGGTGGGATGGAAAGTTGAACCCGCGCCACTCAAATTGCGAGTCAAGTGCCCTAACCACCTGGCCACCCGGTTTATGCGTTTCCATATTACAATGTAGAACAGTGAAATTATAAAATCAGAAGTTCTAGAACTAGCTGAAAAGTTACACAGTTTGAAATATTTTTCATTCGAACACTGTAAGGTACTAAATACTGTGATAAAACAAAGAGCAGGATGTTATGAATACTCACATCCAAGCACTAGTAACTCTGCTGGAAGCGAGAATCTGAATCATAGCTTTGTATATTTCACGAAACGTGTGCAGTTATAATAGCAGAGAATAATGACTGCAAAGATGATGTTGTCAATTGCACAAAATCAGTCCTATAGATTTTTCATAAAATAATATTATGCTGTAAGTTAATCAGTCTCCACGATTAACAAAATACATTTTTTTTGCATTCCATTTCTTTCTCCAAAATAAAAACTAAAGTACGTGTTTTTACCTATGTTAGCTTAAGTTGCTGAAACAAATCTCCAGTAAAAACAGTATATTTATAATGAGTATAAATTTTTCGGTTCTGTTTGTAACACCAGAAATAACCAAACCGTGACAAGCAATTAAAGGATATGTGTCAGCAGTTATCTTAAGTTAAGTAATTTTATGCTTAAGAACCATATTATAATATTGTTTTTCATCTGAGGCGGGTACGGCCCAATAATTAGGGTGCTGGACTGTGCAGTTGAAGTTCTGTAAATCGCGCCCCCTGCCGTCAAATAAATGAATAAAAATTGCGCTCCGTCGATGCATTACAAGAGTGACAGTCAAATGTCTGTTTGGTCTCACAAGAGTAGCTCAACAGTTGGTAGTGGGTGGTGTTGACTAACTGCCTTCATTCTAGTCTATCATTACAGAATTACGAATTTTGCGAAATTCAACAAAAACAAATATTTTTTTTTCTTTCCGTTAAATGATTGTTATATGTTTCTGAATGTGTATACAAGGTTTTAGTTATTGGAGTTGTGGTAATATATATATCAAAGTTTACGTCAATAAGAAGGAGAAATAAAATATAATCAACTGTGACGAGCACTTAAATATGGTGATTTTTATATATTCCTTTTTTCTTTCTTTCTTTTTCAGCTGGGTCAATGCTTGATGAAGTTTATACTAACGAGGTCAGTAAAATTGGATATGTATAAATAAGCTCTATAATATTTTCTTAGCTGATGAAGGATATAACCCTACTAGAAGTTTGTAACTCCTATATTATTGGTGTTAGCTGTCGACAATATTATTACAAAATTCTGTTGCGTCATACGAGAGTTTTGGCTCATTATTAACAATGATTTATTGAATGTTTAAACTTTAAAATAACCGAATTCAATATTAACAATGTTTTAATGAATACCACAAACAGCATTAATCATTACTGCCAAAGATATGAAATATATTAATTAATTCTTAATTATCCTGGCTTACTGTTAAATAATGTTTTAGTGAATGTCGCAGGCGATTTTAATCATAACAAAATTTTCAAAATTGTTAAAGTATACTCAATACAACTTTTAATAAAAATTACTGGGACCTTTTGCTATCGTTTTCAGTTTTTTTATGGCCTCCCAGTGGCACAGCGGAATGTCTGTGGACTTACAACGCTAGAATTTGGGTTTCGATACCCGTAGTGAGCAGATCACAGATGGCTCATTATGTAGCTTTGTGCTTAACTACAAATAAACATTCAATATTTTGGTGAAGCTCAAAAGTATTGTAATTATTTAGGTTATAATAAAATTTAATGATAGTCTTAACTATTTTTAATAAAGTGTTAATACACATTAAATAAAAACTTATTCCATGATGTTTACCGATTCGCTAGTTCTTCTGAATGACGTGTAAACTTAAAATAAAATAATAAGAATAAAAATAATGTACTGTTAAAATAAATAAATAACTTGGTGTTAGTCAAAATCGTACACCTAATTCTGATGTGTAATGACTTAAATAAAATTGATAAAATCACAGACGAACCAACTTAATCTAGTTCACATCAAAATCGTTGTTGTTCAAGCAATTGGTGACATAAATTAGCATATCGACCATTCTCATGTTCGTCGTTTCCCAGCCAGCCTGATGAGCCTTGTTATTGTGGGAAAGATCTCATCGGCACTGGATATAGGAGGCATAGTGTGGTTGACATTTTTCTTTATCTTCACTCACAAGTTCTTATAACAGTTTTAAAGTTTTTGTATTAAATACCAAAAGCCAACGAATCAGTGATTTCAGAAAACCTGATAATAGTGATAAAATCCTGCAGTTTTTCTCTAATTTCCTTTTCATTAGTCCTTTGCGGATTTGAAAGTAGAAGCCTTTCGTTCATTACTAGAATTCATCATCTGGGCTAGATATGTTATCAGACTAAAGTCTGTACAAAATGCTATCTTATAAACAATTCAAAACATTTCGTGTTACTGTTATCATAAGATGCCAAGTTTCTTTCAGCCTTATAAGTAACTGTTTCCATTTCTTGGTTATTTTGTTATTATTATGGTAAAATAATTTAATATATATATGTGTGTGACCTTGTTTCATTTAGCATGGTATGGTTAAACACGATTTTGTTCTGCGCATTAATCTTCCTAATGAGTCAAATGCCAATGTAAAATATATTTAAAACTTTTCACCAGGTGGTTAAGTGGGCGTTCTACAACTAAATGATTTTATCTTATTTCCTTTTTTATTTTGTTTCCTGTAAATCAGGTTTCAGCGTTAAACTGAGATGTTGAACGTTTAAAAACTGTTGTTGCAAAAGCAACTATCTGGTATGTTTCGATTTTGTAGTATAATACACTCCTATCTTAATAAAAAAATACAATCCAAATCTAAAATTAGTCTTTATTTGGTTGCTTACGTCTACATTTCGTATATTGGATTACGGATATGAGCATAAACATCGTGTACGATGTTTTACTTTATCTCGGAAGACTTTCGAAACGTCGTCTTCTACACTTGTGTTTCTAAAAAGGCAAGTTGCCGTTCATTCAACTTAAGTTTCATCAATACTTAGGGTAACTCGAGGAAAACAAAATATATCAAATTACTTATTTAATTACTGATACAGTATAAACTTTAGTTGAAAATGTTTTCCAGTTAAAATGTCTTTCCTACAACTTACAATAATATTAATTTTGTGACTTGGATTTGCACAATATGGTAATATCAAGAATGGACCCCTTGTTATAAAAATTCCTATTTTGATATGCAAATGAAATAATCATAACCATACAGTAAAAATAGAAAACATTTAGAAGCACAACTGTACTTGTCTTTAGAAAAAACACATGACAATGCAATTCTGACAAGGTATCTTTTTCTTTAACCTACTGCATAGTTAACTTTCAACTTGTCCTTGCCAACCAGTAGACAACAGAACTCCCGTGTTTTTCAAGATTCAAAAATATTCCTGCGCTGTTCATTTGCAGCAACAAATTGCTGGCAGATTGTTCCACTTTCTAAGTGATCAAGTTGTTCTTGATGAATGTGGCAAACGGCTACATTGATTCTGCATTTAGCCTTTTAAGAGCACCGAATCTCTTCTTAGCTTCAGCAGAGGAGGCAGGGACAAGTAACAGTAAACTCACAAGGACCTCAACCTGATCATAAAGGCCACGGGCCTTAGGCAGCATGTCACTCAATATTTTTACAGTTTCAGTGCTGGAATTGTAAGTGTGTTTTGTGATGAACATGATTAAGGGCAATGTAGTGACTTTCTGGCCAACTCTGGGTGTTGTTCCTCATCATTGTCAGTCTCTCCAATGAGGAGAAATTTCTCCAACTTTTCAAGAGTCTGCAGGCCTTTTTGGTCGAAAAATCTCTGAACTGCACATCTACAGTGTCTAGCAGCTTTTAGTAATTAGCTCTGTATTACTCCAAAGGAAATGTTGGTGCATGTGCAACAGCCTCAACAGTAAAGTGCTTGGGTTGTTTTCTCAAGTGTGGCATTTGAATTGGCTGGACATTCAACGAATTCATTAATCCTGTTGCTTTATCATACGCTTGTTCTTTTTCCTTGAATAGAGGTTTTGACACACTCTAATGCAGCAAGCATTCCATCAATAGTTTGTGTTCTCTTTTACAAAGAGATATTCAAGCACTTCAATTCTTCCCTCAGTTCAGTAGCTAGAATTAGTCTTAAGACCGTTTTCTGCTTAAATCTTTCCATTTGCTTCAGTTGCTGAATCTGATGCACTACATGTAGCCATCTCTTCCAAACTAAGCAATACTGGCTTATACTGGCTGAGCACTGACCGAATGGCTGGGGTACAAACAATCTACCTTGTGGGGCACAGCAGTTTCAAAGTAGTGTATGATACACAGTCAGACTTTGCTATTGCTCCGAATATTATCTTAAATTTCCTAGATTGTCCAAACAAGTGTCCCAACTCATGAACCCACCGCAAGGAATCCCGAATCACAGGAGAGGATGTACAACTTGACTGAATAATGAGAATCATATAATGAGGACCACAATGGGTATAAAAAGCTATTGGTTGTTCTTTTCTAAGAAAAGGCTGTGCACGAGGGTATTTGTTCGACATATTTACAGCACGATCGTATGTTTGCTCACAAATACCAGAAAGGGGTAGATTGAAGAGCAGTGAGACACCAGTGGCAATCTTGGGTATTCATTATCCTGATGTTGAAAATATTTTATAGAGACCTACAAATTCTTCATGTGGCATCAGATCCTGATCCACACAGCAGAGGCATGTTCACTCTTGTTCAATAACAGATATATCTTATGCTCCATCAATGATCACTGAATATTGCAGCAGTAGCAGAGATCTTGTATGCTTTTCAATATCTCTTGCAATGGAGTTGCCGATTAAATTCATGATCTCATTTTGAAATTTAAATCAGGTATAATCTGAATTACGTGTCAGCTACATACAGAGTTTGGGATCATCCGTTTACCCAAACTTCAGCGACTGGCATAGATTCATTTCCTTTTCCTCATGACCTTTAAACGCCAATTCATTCTGTGCCAAAAGCTGCATTGTGCTTACAGCCTTCAATAGGGAAGAGTTTTCCTACTAGAAAGCTAGATGTTTACTGGTTTTGTCTCCTGAACATGAATTGCCCCTGCTACCTTATGCGTTGACAATCAGCATGCTTTACAAACCTCCCTAGGACTTTTTCTTGATTTCTAAATTCTGAGGACAGCAATAAATACACAACACCCCTTTCAAACAAGGGCTGTAGTGAAGCCAAGTCAAATCTTTGAAACATTTTTCCTGAAAATGGAGAGTCCTATTTCTCAATGTTTGGTTTATAATGAATCTTGGCTTTGGATTATTTGGGGTGTTTCCAAGGTAACCTTTTTCCAATCCTCCTACCTCTATGGCTTTTGCCTCAAATGACTTTGTGCTGGGCAGATGTTGGTATTCAGCTGATAATTTTCTCTCCTCATCATTAGCTTCCCTGCCTGCACATTCCCTCTTTCTCTTTGGTATTGGTGCTTACACTTAGCTGCTGTTGCATTTCCTCCTGCAATAAACATGACAGCAAAAATATCAAACTCGGGTATCATAGTAAACTCCTTAACAATTCTTTCAAAACCACTTTAAAAATAGGTATTCTGACTTTACATAAAGGCATGTAAAACTGGATAAAATTATATTTGTAATAATATTATAAAAGAAGAAGAGAAAGAATACAATTCTAGCAAGACACTTTTTTAAAATAGTTTTACAGACTGTTTAAAATTAAAATATTGTTATCTGGGTTAATAATGTTTCATCATGATAGATGTGGGTAGACTGTAAAATAATAAATGGTACAAAATGAAAGTTTTATTATGTAGTAACCACTATTATCTAGTGTGTTTAATACTTTCAAAATGGATTGTAATAGTTTGATATTTATGTCTGTGTTTATGTTATCAAAAACAATTCAATCGACACTTACACTGTACTGCTTTGCTTAAAAATAAAGCATTTGTGCTCATTTTTTCCTCTTTGCTGCTTCTAACATTGTTAGTAACTTCTGTAAACCAAAAATACACATTTAATTTCTAATGTAGCTAACTCTTGGTCCACCAAACATTATTTTGGTGACCCAGTAAAAATGCTTTGATATAATAATGTAGCCATTTATTTATACATTTATGCTTTCATCTGTAACTTATAAATATTAACAACGGTTTTCATGTTGAATCTTCTTAAGCTTTGATAAATGGAAAAAAGGATATTTAGCTATATCGAGTAAATCAATTAAAGGATTTGTTTGTTTTGTTTTTTAGAGCCACATTGGGCTATCTGCTGTGTCCATCACGGGTAATTGAACTCAGGATTGTGGTGTTACAATTCCGTTAACTTACTACTGTCCCATCAGGGGGCTTATTAAATGAGAATAATTATACATGCAGCTAAAAAAAATCAAAGAAATACTGCCAACTAAACCTACACTTTTAGAACCCAAAAAAATTAAGTAAATAAAGCCATGGTCTTTTTGAAGAATATCAGGGATATTAATGTACTACCTTTTCTTTCACAAAACAGCTAGCTAAATAAGTTCATAACTCACCAAAATCGAAAACAAATATTTGTTGTTACTTTACTAACTTTTAAACTAGCATCATGAAGATTTACAGCATCTTTGAGTATAACAGTTTGTTAACTGTTAGTGTTAGACTTAGTACTATACACTTTAACCAACTCTTTAACTCTTAAATTTCAACGCATCCTATTATTGTACTTCACATATTTATTCCATTTGTTGATATTAAGTATAAATAATACCAGACATAAGACTTTCCAAAGTTCAAAGAATAATATTAAGTGTATTTACTTACATTCACAGTAGTCACACGCATGGAAATCCTTCATTTGTACAACAAATCGAACAATATGTTTGCAACAACAATAATTTCCTTATACTTTTAAGATTTTTTTCCTTTTTACCTTTATGGTCAAAAATCTGTATCTGCTTCGTGACTGTAAACAATCTCTAACCATACTGAACCGCATTGAACCAAACTCATAACCAAAACTAAGGCTAAATAGCATTGTTGTCTTAAAATAAACAAAAATAAGACTATGAACATTTCTTTAAAAAACCTGTAATTCGGCTCCTATAAAGAGTTTTCTAAACAGTGTTTTAAAATGTCCTTAATTCGTTGTTTTAAACTAACAGTACAGACAACCAATTTTTTACAATTAGATCCATGCAGATATGATTTAAGATTTTCAGCAGTGAAATCATGGACATAATTTAGTTAACCTTACCGGTATTTCAAAACCATACATTTAGCTCGCTAGACGGACGATTCTTGCTTCTCCTTCCTTAGTTGCCAATGGCCAACTGTCTTTCTGTGTTTGAAACACTTCACGCAAGTTGCGCCAGGACTGAGGCAGCTGCAATGTTAATGAGTTTCCACATGGTCCTAGTGCAAATTTCTTTTGTCGTAACAACTGGTGTTACATAAAAAACAATTGAGAGCAAAAACGTTAAGCCCCAAAATATCATATCCTCGTCTTTCAAGAAAGTGGGGGAGGGGGACAATTTACCACACTTCAAAAATTGGTTGAGACATGCCCTCACCCCCGCCCCATAAATTACGTCTATGACTCAATAATGTGACACTACAGGAATAAAAAACAACAAACCTTACTGAAACCCCAATGATTCGATCTCCTTTCTTTTAGCGTGTTTTTACATTCACTCTTGAGATCTTGACGATATTTAAACAGTCTTTTAATATTATTTTTAAAGAATATTTTATGTAATTTAGTTAGTGCCTAGCGTGGAAAAGGTTTTATGAAAACTAAACTTCAAATGCGAGAATCTTCTAGGATATATGTGGTATATTAGCTGTTATTCCTGTTCTGGAAGCACAATACACTTGATCAAGTGATCTCACTGGGGTGCTTCAAACGTTTATTATGACATGATAACAATCGACAGGAAATTGAAAGCAGTTTAGTAAACACACGTCTAGTTTTATAATGTCGGATATGTTAACAAATGAGAATCTTTTCATGATAAGTGACAAAGTATTGTTGTAAGCCAATAAGAATTTTCTCACGACAGCTTCATAACGTGACAAGCGTTGTTGTAAACCAATAAGAATTTTCTCACGACAGCTTCATAACGTGACAAGCGTTGTTGTAAACCAATAAGAATTTTCTCACAACAACTTGATAAGGTGACAAACTATTGTTGTGAGTGAGTTATACGCTGTGTTGAAGTCTGCGAAGTAGAGCAAAAACAAGCTAGGTTCACAAAAATATCTGACAACTGATGTTTCTTGATTTGCAGGATAAAGTTTTTCCCTCAAAAGTCACGAAACCTAGGATATCCAAACCGAACCAGTTATCGGATAACTCTCAGAAACAAAGAGCAGTGGACGATACTTGTGTCGGCCTGGTATGTTACTTTAACTAAAAGCCATAGAAACCCAGTCTCTTTTTTCTCTATATGTCTTTCTTATAGTTTTGTTGATCCAAATTATATTTTTATTCTCTTTTTGTCTGCTTTGAATGAAAATCCTCCTAATCTACACTATAAATCTGTGATGTTCTGTTTGTCTAGGTATGTGTTCGAAAATCTCACTCATTCTCTTTCATTTCTATCTATTTTTAGCTCTCTATCTCTTTAAAACTACTGTAGTTTTAAATACTTAATACCTTTTCCTATCTTTTTCGCCGTATCACTATCTGAATATCCTTTATGTCCAAACTCATGTTTATTTTTTACTTTTGTATAGCCGTATATCTGTCTAGATCTCCTGCACATCAGACTATCATCTTTATGCTTTTATTTACGCTTAGAGGACCTGAAACAGGAAATTTTCATGTTCTGTTACTGTTAACATGTTATCTGTTTACGAAATACACATCATTATGGCTACCTTGTTTTGTTATCAAATTTGGTAGTAGTACATTGTTGGGCAATAGTAGCTTGGGGGTATTATTTACGTCTTAATATTAAGCATGCTTTTATCATTAAGTATTTTTAAGGAAATTTAATATTTACAGCAACTTCTACTTGGATAAAAAATGTATATTTATGGTAGTTTTGAGTGCAGTATGTGTTATTTGCAATTCTTTGTGTTTGTTTACAGGATTGAGGTTACTGAAAACGTAACTTAAACTGGTATAAGATTATGCATGCGTAAACCTTTCATTTTACATAAATAAAAAATGAATATACACAGTAAACTTTCGAACTTAAACCTCATGTAGAAGCTGGAAAGAGTTTTGGTGCCATTACGAGGACACGACTTTACGGGATTAGGTTTCAATATATGTGGAAATATGAGAGACGGAATATTCGTTAAAGACGTTCTTAATAGAGGCCCTGCCAATGAATCTGGAAAGATCAAAGCAGGTAAGAAAAAGCATCACCCATGTATCTTATAATTTCAGCTTCATTTGTCAAAGAACCGACTGCTATCATTATAGATTAGAACGTGCAAAACAATGGTTTCGTCAATGTTTAACAAAGTAGCGCCCTCTCGTATGTTTTTTGTTTTATTTTACAAACTCGAAATCTAACTTTAGGAAGATAGGTTTAACCATAGCATACTTGCGAATTCATAATATTTTGTTTCTGTGGATAGTTATAGAAGTACACATGTCATTTTCCACAATCACGGTTTAAAATACTCTTACGATTTTTGTTGAGATGTACACGTTTGAGTGTTGATATTGTAAGCAAATATAATTAAAAGTTTAATTTCGAATCTTATCTTTCAAGAAATGATACTATGTGTAACGCAAACAATATATTTATATATGCATTCTTGATCAAAATGGTTTACAAAAATTAAACATATTTTCTAAGTTTTCTTTACCTTAAAAGCAGCTTGAAAACAAAATTTAGAAATCGCTAATTAAAAAAGCTTCGTGCTTTTCAAATAGAGAAATATTTCAAGAAATATTGATTTTTATTGACAAACGAAGACCATGTCCTTCAGTCTTTGTGAACGTCTGGTGTTATGTATTTTTTAGTTGTTGTTTTTATTTGCAATGATTAAAATTAGGAATTACAGGTGACATTAAGTATAAGTATAATTTCAACCTGAACATTCTTTATGTGTATGTGAGTTCGGCTAAAGCCCCTTATATTGGACTACTGAGCATAGAGAAAGCAGCCAGTCAGAAGTACCCCCTGCCATAATGGCTTTATGCTCTTTTGAACCGAATATCGAGATTGACTATCACTCCAATATTGTACCCAACAAGTACAAACACTATCACTCTGCGGTCCGCGTGTTCAAATCCTACCATTCCTAAATGAGGGACGGCTAGCGCAAATAGCCCTAGAAAAAATTTGCGCGAATTAAAAAAAACAAAACAAAAAACAGAACGTTTGTATAAATATGATTTGTAATCAGTTTGAAATTATTTTTCCCACCCAACTATTTGAAAGCTATGATAAATTCCATTCTAGAACTGTGCTCGTATCACTTCTCCCATTTAAATAGCTTAGCATCATGTCTTGTTCGCATTTACCACAAGTCCCAGTTTTTCACAATACTTTTCTGGTATAATTATCTTTTTCTGTAACCTAATATTCGAATTAGAAAACAAAACCAAATCAACAGAAACAATAGATAATTACTATATTCAGTAATAAAAATTTCCTACAGCAATATAACAATGTTTTAACCCTAATTTACATTTAAATTTTTCTTCAATATTCATTACTATTTATACAAACTTTGGCTTTCACCTTTTGATTTTTTAATTTCATCATACCTTAAATCTCACTATGCAACCAGTTTTCCATAAATATGAAATAGTTTTCTTTATCTATGGTATCATAAGCTTTTTCTGAAATCTAGAAATTACATATAAAAACTTTCCCGTGTTTATGCTTAAATAGTTCGAGTCTTCGGTCTACAATACAAATATGTTATTATATTTTGAATAATGTTCTATATATATTATTGACATACTTTTATTATCCTGTAACAACATTTTTAACTGCTAGTTTAAAGTAGCAATGAAGAGCCTTCTCTGTGCAATTCTGGTTTATGAATAAATGAAACACGGAAGCTCTTAGGGAGAATCTTGTAATTTATTATATATTTACACAATTACAAAAGAGAAAATTGTAAAAAAAATAATTCCCTGCTTCCTAACATGTTATTTATGCAAATCAAATCTTAGTTGCTACTATTTAGTGTATTTGTATTCAAATAATTATAGCTGTGTCTTATTGTTCGCCTTTTAATGAAGATGGGAACATTGACATGGAAATAGATTTGAACGAAGAAGTTTCGTAAAGAGCGCGAACGGTAGTGTGATGTAAAATGACTCATGCTAGAAATATTCATAAAAGTGACCCGAAAAACGGCGCGAACTCGGTAACCCGTGGCCCTATTTTAACGAAACTTGTTTTATTCTGTTTCTATTCTCATTTCATTACAAATATGGCGCTATTGTGTGCTGTTTTTGCTGTATTTAATAACAGACAAGCAAACGAACAAACAAAAAATCTCAGAGTTTTAGTAGTATATAGATTACTCGTATTTTCTTAAGATGACAAAAACAAGATCTTGAAGAATTTCTCAATAATGTGCCTTGGTTATGGTAGGTAATTCAAAGAAAAAATAAAGTGTTACTGTTTCTTATTTGTAGAAGGTTTAAGAGGAAAGACCACAACATAATGAACTAATTCATCACAATACCTGAAAACCCTGACTTCACTTTTTTGAAAAATGAAATGGTCTTTCCTTTTACACACAATCAACAATCAAATATCTTTTTTCTTGAATTATGAATTATGAAAAAAATAACATGAATGGATTGAAATATTTAATTAAATTATCTCAAAATAAACCTTCATTTCGGTGCAATATTAAAATTGGCTTGAATTCTTCATAACCTCTGAATAGTGGATGACCCAATGGGTCACGGGTGGTCTAGTGTGAATATAAATGTCCTTAATGTTATTTAGGTTACGTTTGGTCCATCACTAGGTGGTTAAAAGTCTACATACTTAAGATCCATGTCATTTGCAAGCATCAGGAAGAATGCACTGGATGAATGTAATGAACCAATAAGTAGAGGACTTTAAAATCCTTGCAAAGGCCAAAAGGTGAACAAGAATTTCGTACAAAGGAAATTTGATTGATCAGAAGACTTAAGCTTGAATTGAATGAGCAAAACAGTGCATATTTTTTATCACTAATTCTGTAAGTGTTAATGATGTGAAACTGTTTCAGTAACATTAAAAATGACACAGATCACTGTGTGAGTATGGCTTATAAATTCAGTTTGAGCAATGAATTCTAAGAATGTTTTAGTAAAAAAAAAAATGTTTCTTAAAATGAGTACAATCTTCCAGAGGGCTTATGGTGCCATAATAATAATGATGGGGTGAAAGAAATATTGCTTGAATAATGGCAACTTATACAAACATAACAGATTTTTTTTTTACCGTATTGCCTGTGTGTGTGTGTGTGTGTGTGTGTGTTTGTGCGTGTATAACTGTGATCACAGATTAAATTTATGGAGTGGAAATATAATTAGACTTAATTCACTGTTCTTCTTTTTTACTTTGTTTCAGAGATTCAAGGCTCTACTGCTAGTGGAACTTAGTAAAATATTTCCAAATGAAATGGCAAAATATCGAGCTATTCGAGGAGACGAAAGACCTTCTTCTTAAACTAAATAAATATCACATTGTTATTTCTGCATTTAAAATAAAATTATAAAATGACTTCAAATTTATGTAACTCATTTGATGATGATGTAAATACAGTAAAATGAATTTGAGGTAAATACTTTAAAAAATGTATTTTATTTTTTGTGACTCATAAAAAAAATTCTCAAAATCTATCTATATATATTTATACACACACTTATAAATTGAAACTACAGTTTTGTACTTCTGATTTCTGGGGGGGGGGGGTCTGAGTTGAACCATACAATGATATATAGAATAATAGAGTAAGTGGAAATTATATGATTTTGGTCTTAAATCTAATTAGATGTGTTCATACTCTTACTCACAAGCTACCAGGGCCAAATGTGGCACATGTGCTTGGATACAATGGGTGGATGTCCAAATATGATTTGCAGGTACAGAACCCTCTTGGGGTAGCCATAGAAGTAATTGGGGATAATGAGAGAGGCTTTGAACCACCCTGCAACAGAGCATGTGTATTTTATGCTAATTTTTATAATTGTCACTGTTCTCAGAAGCTTGAAAAATATTTTCAGCAAATAGAGAAACTCATCACCTCATTCGAAAAAGGGCAGTTATTAATCTCTCTGTATATTGTGATGTTTGGTAGCATTTTTAAGAAATCAAATTCATATCATAACACAAAAATGTAAAACAAAAGCCCATGAAGGTAATATTTATTTTTCTGAAATACTATGCTAAACTAACATTTGTTTGATCTAAATGTGGTTGAGAAACAAATTATCAAACTCTTTCAAGATTAATAAAAATGTACATAATTGCAAAATGTCTTTATTTTGATACATTTAAGACAGTTAAACTAAGAAAAATTGATCAAAATAATTGGAAATTCTTATAAATGTAATATAAGTATTGTAAAGCTCATTCTCAAAAGCCCTTCAAAAAGGAGACCTATTTTTTTCTGTATGTATATGGAGCAGTTTGATTAAACCAGGATGTGCCTGAAAGTCAGTGGTTAGTGTACCCTGATACTTTATGATTCACCTTATTAATTACTATGAATAAGGAAGAAAATATAAATTACTTTAACAAAATATTTTTTTAGGATTCCACAAACATATGTATGTTGAGGTGATGCACTCATTAATTACAAAATAAACACATTGCATGATTAAGAAGCTCCATGAATTTAAATTTCAGTGCATAAAAGTAACAGTATTAATCCATTGATTATTAATATCATTTCATTATGTTCCCACAGTTTTTATTGTATTAAGTCACTTTTTATTAACATGGATATATTCTGGTCCAGTGCCTTATAGAATTACTAACTAACTGTTTCATTATTTTTTCTATACAACATGGCTTCTTAGTGGCTCAGTTGTAAGCTTGAGGGCTTACAACACTGAAATTCAAGGTTCAATCCTCTTGGTGGACACAACACAGATAGTTTACTGTATAGCTTTGTGCTTAAATACATCCACACAACACAATTATTATTCAAAACAACAGAAGCATACGTAATTACTGTTGGCCAAATACATTGTTTACTTCATATCTTTGCAATAAGAGCATTAATTACATCTTGGTTTAAGTTATGGGCTGTATTTTAGCTACCGGTGTTGGAGATCAACATACAATTGATGGCACCCTGACTGCTGATAGGTACATCAGATTCTTAATAACTATGCTTTTCCTCAGATTTCATTTTCCTGCAAGACAGTCGGTCA